CTCCCCCCGGAACCCGTAAACTTTGATTTCTCACAAGGTGCTGGCAGAGTCATCCAATAGACATCCGCCAATCCCTAATCAACATCGTTTATGGTCGAGACTAGGACGGTATCTGATCGTCTTCGATCCCCCAACTTTCGTTCTTGATTAATGAGAACGTCCTTCGCAAATGCTTTCGCAAAAGTTCGTCATCCATAAATCCAAGAATTTCACGTCTGACAATGGAATACGAATGCCCCCAACCGTCTCTATTAATCATTACTCCAACCCCGAAGACCAACGAAATAGGACCAGAGTTTCCTCTGGCCTCGCCCTGCTCAGGCATAGTTCACCATCTTTCGGGTCCCAACGGGCATGCCCACACTCAAACCTCTCACAGCAGATCGTCGTTGGCGGACGGTGCACCCGCAGAGGGTTCCCACCACTCAGGTTTCTTCTGCCTCGTGGGATAATCACCCACCGGCTCGCATGCAGGTTGAACTCCTCGGTCCGTGTTTCAAGATGGGCAGGATAGAGGAATTTGGCCAGCATCCWGAACACGCAGGAACCCGAACTGGCCCACCGAAAGAGGCGCGTGCTCAAGGTCCTCGACTGCCGTGACGGCCACCCGTGGGGGGTTTCAATCGCTCCCCACCGCAATSCCGGTCACAGCAGCCCATGCTGGCAGGCACCCCACGTCCAACAAGGGGGGCRACAACACAGTCGCCGTCCACCCCTGCCCAAACGGGAGCGCACAACTTCCCCTCTATCCGCTTCTCGCTCGGCAATTTCAAGCACTCTTTAACTCTCTTTTCAAAGTKCTTTTCATCCTTCCCTCGCGGTACTTCTTTGCTATCGGTCCCTCTCACAAATTTAGCCTTGGATGGGACTTACCACCCAATTGGGGCTGCATTCCCAAGCAACCCRACTCTTGGACAACACCTCGTTGCGCAGCAGGGTCCGGCGGTCGACGGGGCTGTCACCCTCTTTGGCGTCCCCTTCCAGGGAACCTGCACACGGCCAGCTGCAGAGGTTGCCTCTCAAGACTACAATTCAGGGAGCAACATAGCCCTCGGATTTTCAGTTCGGGCTATTCCAGGTTCGCTCGCCGCTACCAAGGGAATCCTCGTTGGTTTCTCTTCCTCCGCTTAGTTATATGCTTAAATTGGGCGGGTGCTCCCGCCCGACCTGAGATCAAAAGGCAAGGCCCGACGTACCTCCACAGCTCGCGGCCGACACCCCCAAC